TCCAACACAATTGCTATTTCATGGCGAAAACTCAGCTTAAACACGAACTTCGGAATCGTTTGGACCAAACTCGTCCCCCGCACTCTTCTACATCGTATCTTTGATCCACGAAAACAATCACAATTTGAGGAGGAATTACAAATTTATATACATCAAACGACAGCTCCGGGTCTGCAGAACACACATAACCACATGAAAATGGCGAACTCTTACTTGGTTATGATGTATTGGCACCGCAAAGATTTAAAGACGAAAATATAATTTCACATAATTGATGTCACACACAAATAGACTTTTAAAAAAAGTACCGCGGAGTACCGCTTCGAAAATCTCGCTACATGTCAATGATTCATTGCACTACAAGATCCAACAGTCATTTTTTGCGACTTTTTGCGACTTTGGATGTAGCAACCAAACATCAACCCGCGCCGGACCGGTGCTCGGCATCAAACGCGCCGGGCCGGGAGATGTTGATTGAACACTCCCCTTCTAACTCGGCTCTTGGGCCACATAGCGACACGTAGTAAGTGGCATTCGAAAAAGCGTCCGAAATTCCAGATGGAGTAGGGGAAGGAGGGTGAATTGCGCCACCTTAGGGAAAAACGCTAATTGTAAGAAAACCGCTGGAGATATAAGCATGCACTGGTAACCACTTCAAAGAGGAACTCATTAGCTACGATTTAAGAGCCTCCCGATCAATTAAGAATGTTTCGTTTGCTTCCGACAGCTGCTTTTCAGAAACATGCAAAAGGGCGCATTTACCGACAACTGCTGTAAATTGCGCCAGGGGGATGGCGCAATTAGCATCCAATTGCGCCCTATACTTAAACATGGCTAAGCGAATGAGACGGAATGCATACACCCCGGCAGTGTAATGTCATTGCGGCTTACTTAAACATTTATAATGTTAATCAGGCTGGATAAATAATAAATGTAGATATAAATCGCGATGTTTTTTGCCCAGGTAAATAACTTTACATGTGTCCGTATGTTTGTAAAAGTGCAACGAAAACGTTTTATGTAACCGACTAGATATATGTGAAAGTATGGTTAAATTTTCAATCGTTTCTCTCAAAATTATTATTTTTTATCGTTTTGACAACTTGTTGACATCAGTTTTTACTTTTTGATCATAGCTGTCACCTCTTACGCCCGAGTCCATGTTGAAAATGCCGTATTTTGTCAATTACACCACAAATTGGCAGCCTAAATGGCAGCTGCATTATAAGTTTGACGAGAGAAATAATTTTCGGACTGGCGACAGCAGGCTGCTCCCCTGCCTGGCATTAAACTCCTTCTTTATTGCAATCAGTTAATGGTGCATTCATACTGTCGTGATACAATAGCTACACCATTATTCTATTTGCGCCCCCATGGCGCAATTGCCATGGGCGCAATTAGAATTGAGGTACTTTTTAATAAAAGCGTAGAAGTTATCATAAATATGCTGAAGGAAGTTTACTGTTTAAGTGAAATATAATGAAAAAATGGGCTTTCTTTCTAAATATCACTCTGGAAATCACACACGTATCACAGATTTTTATAGCCAACGGTTCAAAATACTGCAAAAAAAGCTAAGAAAACGCCGTAATATCTTTGATGGCGAAACTGAGCCCTGCTGATTGGCTTCGTCAGAGAGCTTGGGCCATAAAATGAACTATCAGGTGGTGAAAATATTGTTTTCGAACACAAAATTATAAACATGCCATCGAATTCGTGAGAATGTTGGTGGGCGCAATTGGTTAGGAGGGCGCAATACACCCACTTTCCCCTAATTAGTCATTTCTAGGTCAGGTCAAAGGTCACGTCACCAGAGGTCATCAAAGGTAAAATGTTGCATATATCAACATTTCTCGAAAACCGGCCCTTACCTCGAGGACCAATAGAGCTACATCGTCGCGGAAAAGTGCATTCAATTGCTCTTTTAGCGGTCTTTCTGAAATAAGCCCTCACATTTGGCTTAACCCTCGCCCCTAGTGGTGTTTTTCCAGCCGCGAACTTATAGAAGGGGTCCGTTGGACCCTCCCCCCCGCCGTTTCGCCCCTGATCGAGCTAGAGCTTCGCGGAAAAGACGAGCGTGTTGCCCGTGACAAGAGGAAGCTGATGATACCCAATTGTAAGGTCCTAGGTCATCGGTTGACCTTCCAGGTCAGGTCAATGACCCAAAAGTCGGGAAAATCGGGACCTGTTAGAACGTCATGAAGGGTGGCTGCTATGGGTTTTTTTGGGGTGCTGATCACGAATATAATGTTATTTACGATCATAGATGATGTCTTCATACATTTAGGCCAGGTCGGGTCAGGTCAGGTCAACCAGTAAGGGTTTTGCCGGGTATTTGCAGTAGGTGGCAACCGCCTCTGACAGCTTTGTAACATGTTACGAAGGCACCAAAGCTACATAGTAAATGTTCAAATGGTTGCTAGATTCGAATTCAGCTCCAAAAACTAGCCTAGAAACATGTAAAACTCGAAAAAGTGAACTAAGGTCATTAAAGGTCAATGACCTTACCTGACCTTCTGGTGACCTTGACATCCACCCTAATGCATGGGAGCAACATAATATCCCATGTTTGAACGCTTTAAACCAAGAAAAGACTGCAAACCCGCGGCTAATGCGAGCCGACATACGCTGAATCGCGATTCCGGTCAAACATGGTCTCGAAAGAAGGTCACAGGTCAAATATGATTAAGGTCAGGGTCATGAAATTTTCAGGTTAACTGTAAAAGTAGTTATCGCGAAAGCACTGAAAGTTTCGTTGCGATCGGCCGCTTTTTACGCGAATTACTCGCGAAAAACCAAGGGTTCCGTTCGAAGATTCAGGCCTCGTCGCGCTAGAATGGCATATCGGCCCACTGTGCGGCGCCGGGCTGAGGTTTGAACCCCCCTCCCGACCCCTATAACTTGGCTACTGGGCCACGTAGCGACACGCGGTAAGCGGCATTCGAAAGAGTGTCAAAAACTACTTGGGTTAGTTGGTTAACCGTACTTTGGTTAGGTCAAGTCTAATGTCAAATATCAGGTGACCAGAGGTCATCAAAGGTGAAATGTTGTCTGTTTCAACATTCATTGACAAACTGGCGATAACTCGGGGAAGAATAGAACTACAGCACCGCGAAAAAAGCGCATTCGATTGCTCTTCAACGTTCCTATAAAGTCCTCAGACTTGACCTAACATCAACGGCTTAACCTCCAGAGCACAACTATGTAGTTTAACCCGTGACGGGCCGGGGAGGGTTGGAGTGGACAGTGGACCCCCCTCCGCCCCTCTACTGAGCTGTTTTAATGAAGAACCTTTTTACTGTAATAATTATTGACTCACGAAAGTTATGACATTGTTTTTTCAGTACTGTGCTCCTCTCGTCGAGATGCGTCGAATGAACTATAATTTGACATTCAAATGTCATTTGGGAAATTTGAGCTCATGTCCAGGTCATGACCTGACTGGTAAAGGTCACGTTGCATATCAGTCGATTTGTATCGTCAAACTGATATCATCTAAGGTGTTTTCATCGCTCAGGTATGTCGCATGTCTCTATCAGAAGTTATTGAAAAAAACTGATGGAGGCCTTCCATGACCTGACATGACCTCAAGGACATAACGAGGGGTCGTGGGTGGCAATTTTCCGATTAAGTGTTTCATTTTTAATTGTTTTATGATGTATAAATTCGTTAACTTTGACATTTGTCTACCTAAAAAAAGAGGCATGCATGCCCTGATATTCTCCCATTTCCTTATACCTAATGGAAGGGTCGCAAAATTGTCCTTACCTTTGGTCAAAGACATAGCAATTTCGAGACTTACATTTTATATATACAGTTACACACTGTTTGTCTTATCAATCGCTGAAGTTATAAAGGGATCGTTCAGTCGGTGTATCTATGGTGAGCATTTGCCTGTTCCGTAGCTCAGTTGGTAGAGCACCGGACGCCCCGCATTGTCTTCGCTTGCGTTTTGTCCGCCGGCCGATCCGGAGAGAAAGTTACCGAGTGAAGGTCATTCAAATTTCAAAAACTCAATGAAAATGTCACTGGGGTCACGAAAATATTTGAGTAGGTAGGTATACCATTCATTAACTTGGGGGGGGGGGATGAACGTATCGTTACAAATCAATACGCTGTTCATTACGCGAGTAACTAATGAATAAAAAATGTATGACTTCATCCTTACTCCACCCGCTCTCCCTCTCCATAAAAAGAGAGTTAATTGTGTTGCATTTTATTTCGATGCAGAAAAATAGAGGCGTCAAAGGATATGGCCGAATATCAGCGACCCTTGCTGTGTAAGCAATGGGGCTTGCAATGGGGTATGACAAGTGGGGGTAATGGCCCCGTCCAGCGCCCATAAAGTGGGCACCACTCGTGCGACCTGCCGACCACTGTTCTAGAGCCATAAAACACCGTGAATGTTTTAAGCTTGACGATACGGATCGACTGGTATGCAACATGTTTTATTTATGGCGAGTTAATGAACTTGACCTCAGGTAAAATTTTTAAATCAATTTTTGTAAAGTCAAATTATAGTTCATTTGTCGCATTATGACACGAGAAATACTAGTTATATCCCGGAAAAATAGACGTAATACCGCTGAGCTTAGGTAGGTTGAATCTGAAATCATTACTTAGAAAGAGTTATAAAAGAACCGTCGAACGTGTCTTTTTTGTCATTAAATATCAGTAGGTATGGCGCCCCCCTCAGATGCCAAGTGCCGCCCCTATGAGTGCAAAATGCCGCCCCTAAATGTGATTGCCGACCCAGTGAAAATCCCTTAAAATACGCCCTGCAGATCTCTGACGCCACTGTAGTGTTAGGAACCGTGGGAGTTTTTTACGGTGAAATATGGTGCTGGCGTCGTGAGTTAGGCTTAAGATGGATAAATTCGATTATTCTTGTGAATAAAGGCATTGGTAATGTATTTGAATGACCTGTAAAGATTGAAGGGAAAATGGTAAAAGAAACGTGGCGATTTGGTAGCATTTGGTATCGTTACTTTCAGCTGATTGTAAACATACGCAAGCGAAGGCGGCGAGTTCCGGCGCGTTCCTGTGGCCCCCCGGGTGGCCTCTCCCGTGAAAATAAAAATTTAAACAGGGGGTGAGGGGTTATTCGGCTTGCTTTTCTTGTGCGTTACTGAATAATAATCGTTTGTCATACCCTTGGCTAGGGTACCAAGCTTTCGTTGCAAGATGGGGGAATATTTCCAATTGTCTCTTTTGGTGTGCGTATTGATCGCCCAGTTCAGTATTTCTGTTTCTTTCTATTTACCTGGCCTGGCACCTGTCAATTATTGTGAAAAGGAAAGGGAGAGTGATCGCTGCAAGGTAAGTTGATGCCTAACGGGTAACTTGTGAGAACTCTGAAACAATTTCAATTATTGTGAAATGTGTGTTGTCGTTGTCGAGTATAGTGTTGAAATATCTCTTATTTGTAAAATTGCTGTTTAGGGTCTCATTCATATTCAACTTTTGAGACAGTCTGATTTCGCTGTTCATGATATAGTTCCTGGAAATGATGAGCATTTATGACAGGTTAAATTATTATGTAAAGAACAAACCAATCAGTAGCTAGGTACGTACCTCTAAATTGAAATGCTTTTGCAATTATTAAAAAAGATACACAAAGCTTTTGGTTCATGGCATCTTGATGATCAAGGTTCCATCGAGCTTGATTAACATTGAGTACCTACCTACCTATGGTTTTCAACTTTCCTGCTCAAACATCCACCGATACCCATCCAGTAACTTTTAAAACTCAATATTTGTTTAATGCGTAATGGACCTAAAATTACCACTGTAGTTTCTGCACCCTAAAGCCTAATGAACAAATAAGTTGTTTTATATTTGAGATAGGTTGAACTCCTTTTCACTTAATATAAATCAAAGATGTCTGCCTATTTATTTAGTTCAATTCAATTAGTGGAATGGCATTGTTGATAAATTGGTGAAATTCAAGTGTGATATTTGTGTTATCATTTCACATGATGACAAATTTAATCATAACTAAAGACATAATTCATTTTATCATTTTTGTATTTTGTGATTTATGAGATAAACCATTCCATCAAATTGAAATAGTACTCAATTGTGTTGCTTACCTACAGCTTCTTTCATAGTTCATTGATACTAAAGATTCATTGCTTAAGGCAGCACCTATCATGAAGAGGTGTTCCTTTTTTCTGCTCCCAAATTGATGACGATCCCAATGTCAGTCAATCAATCAAGCTGCAGGAGTAGTGTTCTGTCTCTCTATCAAGTTAACAATGTTGACATGATGTGAAAATTTAAAATTTTGCTTGGTTGCTGCCATTTACAGCCCTGCTTGCTCTGAACTTATGCTGATATTGAAGAGTACTAGCTACCACTCTATAGCTGTGACTATGGTGGTACTTAAGTGAATGACCCAGCGACCCTCGGTACCGTTCATGACCGCGTGGCGGTGGACTGTTCCACTAGCGGCGGTTCTGGCCGACCGGGTCGCGTGGGGACTGGGGACCGTTACGGACGCCGACCGACCGACGGTCCGGTCAATAGATGGCGCTGATATCGCACAGCGGACCACAGGGACCGGGAACCACGGGCCATGCTGATGCACGAACGAGTGGCTAAGCTGCCATTTAGAGCAACACATTGACGCCAAGATATTTGTATGTCGGGAATTCGTCGGGAATGTGTTGAAATGTATCAAGCTAAATATCTCATGCTTCTATACTGTGAGCTCCTCGCCGTTGGTCGCCATTATCGCTGAATGCGTACATTAATGAATGAACTGACCGCCAACAGCTGATGTGTGAACCGACGTGCGCAGATGTGTATATCCCGATGGTGACGGCGCTCGTTTTTCTCCGTTTCAGTCTCAGATCCCGGTGTTTGTGAACCGGCTAACGTCGCTGGAGTCGGTGATACCGTACGACTACAGCCAGTGAGTAGTCACCGAGCCGATCGCTTGCGGCTGTACCGTCCCCTGTCCACCCCTATCCTCCGCTATCATATCCCGTCCGGTCGTTCCAAATCGCCCAACGGCCGACCAGCGATAGTGTTATCGGTCTCAATGAACGGTCCGTCTATTTACCGTGTGGGTACACAGTAAATACGATAACTGAAGAACGCTGGAGCCGTCGTAGTTAATGCGCTGATTGTGTAATGTTTGTATTGCACGATGTATTGGCTTTACGACCATTGTGCTATCTTTTCATGCAAGAGTATAGTATCGCATGCCCATAAGAAGAAGAGATGTTAAAGTGAAAATATTATGAATCTACTACTATATAATGTTGCGGCCAAGCTTGACAGGACTTATTTTCTGACGGTGACTTCTTTTTATGTTGCCTCAACATAGCATATCACAACCCTCTCCCCTGCCATTCCACATGATCCGACCCTAGCCACTGCTCCGCTGACACGAGTTACTGCCTGTGCCGCCAGTTTCGACTTTTGCAGCCCGCAGTCGGAGGCAGCGCCGCCCCCGGTCGAGAACCTGGGCCAGGTGGTGTTCGGACAGCGCATCCAGTCCTCCCCCTATGAGGTAAGCTAGGCCTAGCTTGTCATACATGTATCCAATTGTCGCCCAATGTGGGCCTTTGCAGTACATGCATACAGTGTTCACTGTTCAGCCTACGAGGTAGGTGGGGTCTTGGTATACGCGTCCTGTCGCTACATTATGAGATGTGCCGGGCCTTTGTCAGACCCACGCCCGGTTGTCGCCCTGTAAGGTATGTAGGGCCTTGGCCACACCACAGGTGCGCGATGACCCTGATAGGAGTAAGGTGCCCGCCCGGACCTTTGGATATTGACTTGACAGAATATTACTGCTCTCTCCCCCCAGCTCGCAGTGTCCCTTTGTCCTTCTGACCCGACCTTTGTGTCTCCCGCTCACAGTTCCAGTTCGAGCCCACCGGCAAAACGTCCCAGACATGTGTCAAGGTCTGCGAGAAGACGTACAATCCCAAGCAGGCGAACAACAAGCTGGCCAACCTGAAGAGGGCCATCTTCCTCGACTACCAGCACCACTTCATTGTCGGTGAGCCGCCGGGCTGAGCCGTGCCAGTCGGGTTTCACTGTTCACTGTAATGCCGGGAATAGGGGATTCAAAAAGTTTTGATCGTCTCCGAGTGCACCTGGCTGCGCTAGACGCCCTCCTGGTCCCCTTTCTTTCACCAGAAGATCTGTAGTACGATAACGACATCTATTCTTCTGCCGCAAAATACTCAACGTGAGCTGGTGTCGTCGGGTGGTGCTACATTACTGACGTGGGTTCCCTGCACCACAGACAACATGCCGGTGACGCTCTGCTACATGACGGACATCGGAGAGCGCAGCTGCAATAACGGCTTCCCGGTCGGCTGCTACGTGGACCCGCAGGGCCGGCCCAAGCCCTCCTGCTATCTGGGCGTGAGTGATACCGGGGCGACTTGGTGATGTGTCTGGGTCTGTTGTAGTTAGCTGGGCCGCCCTGATGTCTGGGCGGTATAGCAGATGTTTCAAAAGACATGCTATCACGTGAAGGTAACAGTCGTTTGATGGCGATTACCACAGCTGCTGCGGTCACGGCACTGTGAAACTCAAATCGTCACTCTAATAGCCCGGTTCAGAACGACTTATGTGGAAATTGTCGTCCATACCAGCGGGCGTTGTCTTCGGTTGTCTACTGATACCGCTACGGCTGCTAACCTGCAGATATTTGCGCTCTCAGAGGTGACTGACTTTCAGTTCCTGGATGCTGAGTCATAGTTTGACGTGGTGTCAATACGTGAGTGGTCCGCAGAATTGTGTTTGTCATGGATAGCGCTCCGCCGCTGACCTCTGTTTTGCCCTCCGGCAGAGTAACCTGGCCCAGAAGCCGGGTGTGCACTACCTGTTCAACCACCTGGACTTCAACATCACCTACCACAGCGGCTACAAGGAGGCCTGGGGCACCTCCTTCCAGGGAGATGGTACGAACCGTGAGAGTCTGTTGCAGGGTGATGCTGAGATGAAATTATCACGGGATCTGAGGAGATTTGACGGGAGGGACAGGGGAGATTGTCTCAGCGATCTCAGCTATGTCTTTGATTTGCCATTGATTTTTGACAGTCGATATGGCTGATGTATTTCCCCTATAGTCTGGTTTCCGTTGGAATGGATGACGAGCAGCTGCACAGGTGCTATAGAAACGTATTTCATCCGTCCAAGCCGTCATTTTATTCGGCATTTTACGAGGCAGGATGTCATATAACCTTCCCCGTCCCTCCGTCCCGCTGCGCGTGCGGCCTTGTGACCGCACCCCGTGCCGTCGTTCCCAGGCGGGCGGATCATCCGCGTGGAGGTGACGCCGCGCTCGATCGCGCACAAGGCCGGCGAACCGCCGCACTGCGAGGCCGGCCAGGCGCCCATGGAGATTTCCTCGGACGCCGCTCAGATCAATGTCATCTACACGTACTCGCTCACCTTTCACGTGAGTCTGCGGGAACTGACGGGGAGAAGGGGCGGAAACGGGATGAAGAGGGAAGTAACTCGTATTTACTTGCTAGTTTCCACTTGAGTCGAGCTGCAGCCGGTGGTAAGTTCATGTGAAGGGGTTTGATGTTCTAAAATCTGAGCGGTTTCGGCTGGGATGTTGTGTGGATGAAATATTTATTTTGGTGTTTGTCTTATCCATGGCAAACAGAGATGGTTTACTTTCTAATGTGCTATTTCCACCTGGCATAATCATCAGGCATTTACAATCTCATGGTCCAGAGTGCATCTGTCACCGTGTGACCTCTTGTGATATCTGAACTGCGACTCCATATGACCGACAGGAGACACACGATGTGAAGTGGTCGTCGCGGTGGGACTACTTGCTGGACTCGCTGCCCAACGCCAACATCCAGTGGTTCTCCATCCTCAACTCGCTGGTCATCGTGCTGTTCCTCTCGGGCATGGTAGCCATGATCCTCCTGAGAACGCTACACAAGGACATCGCCCGCTACAACCAGGTCAGACCTCGGACTGCAGGACCTTCATGGTTGGGCTGTGTTGGAAGTGGAAGGGACAGGATGTCCTCACGCACCCCAGCTGGGACTTGGAAAATGGACAGTGGCCTGACCCGTCCCGGTCGTCCCGCTCTGATCTACTTCTCTGATTGAGTCCGGTGATAACGCTTAGAAAGAAGTCTTACTTATTAGCCCCGACCCGACCTGTGCTGCCCTCAGATTGAGTCTTAAAATATGACCCGGGAGTAAGTCTAACCTGACCTGACCGTTCGCCCTGACTCTCCTCCTCCCCCCCCCCCCCAGCTCGAGTAGACACGGCACACGCAGGAGTTTGGCTGACCTGACCTGACCTGCCCCCCCCCCCCCTCAGATCGAGTCTGGTGACGACACGCAGGAGGAGTTTGGCTGGAAGCTGGTGCACGGGGACGTGTTCCGTCCGCCGCGCCACGGTATGCTGCTGTCCGTGTTTGTCGGCTCCGGCGTGCAGGTGCTCTCGATGCTGCTCATCACACTAGGTGGGTACTCGCGGCGTGCAGGTGCTCTCGATGCTGCTCATCACACTAGGTGGGTACTCGCGGCGTGCAGGTGCTCTCGATGCTGCTCATTACGCTAGGTGGGTACTCGCGGCGTGCAGGTGCTCTCGATGCTGCTCATTACGCTAGGTGGGTAACGAGGCGTACAGGTGCTCTCGATGCTGCTCATTACGCTAGGTGGGTAACGAGGCGTACAGGTGCTCTCGATGCTGCTCATTACGCTAGGTGGGTAACGAGGCGTGCAGGTGCTCTCGATGCTGCTCATCACACTAGGTGGGTCACGGGGCGTGCGGGTGCTCTCGATGCAGCTGCTCATCACACTAGGTGGGTCACTCAGCGGGGGAGCGGCGAGTTAGAGCTGCGGGATCGCACGGGGTTGGTCAGTGGGGCGTAGCGGCGGGTTAGAGCTGCGGGGTTGCAGAAGAACGTGGATAAGGACTGGGCCGTGATCTTTCGGCCGCGGTTGCGATTTTGGGGCAGGAAGGGGGGGGGGGGTCAGGCTAGATGCTGCAGGCCCGATGTTAAGTACTCGACTTTGTCGTCGTTCATGGCCTGCCACCATTGATGATTTCGACGGAGCCAGTCACTCACCCTGCGTGTCGGGCCGGTCGGGGTGGGGCCGGCTGGGCATGACAATTACATTGTAAGTTACGACAGACATGGGCATCGGTTCATACTGCTAGTCATGTTACAACCGGGCCTAACTTCCGGCTCCGCCGATATCACTTTCCGAATTTCTGTTTGTTTGATGATGCGTGCCCTCCCCTGGTAGGATACGTATTTCCATGACTTGAAATGGTGATGATGTCGTGATCATGTCATCCCGTTGATCGGAATAATTTGGGTGATATTTGGTAAGCATAACAATTATCGGATTCAACGTTTCGGGCCTTGACCGTGTTCAATTCTTTTATCTTCCCAATTCACATTCTATCTTGTTTTCCACTGACGAGGGCACTTTGTTGTCGAAACGTCTGGTCTTATTTACACTGTCTTTGTATTGTCATTGTCTGTGAGAAAAACAAAATGTCTAACTCTTCTAATCTAATTCGTATTTATTCCCGTAAAGTCTGTGCACACTCCACAGGTGTTTGCCATGCCCCGCAACCCCGGTGTGTAACCGTTACCTGTCTGCCGGCAGTGTTTGCCTGCCTCGGGTTCCTGTCGCCGGCCAACCGGGGCTCGCTGATGACCTGCGGCCTGGTGCTGTACGTGTGTCTGGGCACGCCTGCCGGATACGTGGCGGCGCGCATCTACAAGTCGTTCGGCGGAGAGAAGTGGGGACTGAACGTGCTGCTCACCTCGACACTCTGCCCGGGGTACGGTACAGCCGCCGGGCTGACAGTAGCCCGTAGTGCCACTGCAGGCTGTCCCCGCAGAACCGCTGTGGTACCGCTTGTTAGTTGATGCTTGGTCATGCAGCAGCGGATCGAGACTTTTTGAAACTGTGAATGCGTCAGCTTTTGTGCTGTATTTTCACTATTATGATAATCACGCACTCTAGTATAAATTTTGTCATAATGCTGCCTCGTTCTGCTAGCTCTTGTTTTCAATTTGCTCTACTGACGTACTTGACCTTCCCGGCTTGGTGACGCTCCCTCTCTGTCCCCAGTATCGTGTTCATCATCACGCTGCTGCTGAATTTCGTGCTGTGGGCGCACGGCTCCTCGGCCGCCCTGCCCTTCCTCACCATTCTGGCGCTGATCGGACTGTGGTTCGGCGTCTCCGTGCCGCTCACATTCGTCGGCGCCTACTTTGGATTCCGCAAACGGGTACTCGAACACCCGGTGAGTGGTGGAAAGGGAAGGGAGAGTCTGCGGGGGACGTCGATTCTACCTCGGTGGGAGGGAAGGGAGGAGCGGGAGGGAAGTGTAGGAGCGCTGGCCGATGACGAGGGTGGTAGCTACGGTTGGTTGTTGGCAGTTATGATGTATCTAGAAGGGTTGTAGGCTCTTTGGACTTGGTGATTTCTTGGATATCCGTAATTTAAGCGTATTCCGTGTGGACGTCTTTTGAAGTGTATCATTACCTTGCTACTTTTATGTGACAGTCGAATTACACTCCTGGTTGAGTGTAATGCGACCTTGGCTTGTTATGTGGTTTAGCCAATGGCTCAATCGGATGAGTGCCATCGTAATGCCTGTGACTGACGTGATGCCGCCTGCCTTTACCGACGCTCCCGCCGCCTGACTCGGTCCGCCTCTGTGTGCCCTCAGGTGCGCACGAACCAGATCCCTCGTCAGATTCCGGAGCAGAGCATCTACACGCGTCCGCTGCCCTGCGTGCTGATGGGCGGCATCCTGCCCTTCGGCTGCATCTTCGTCCAGCTCTTCTTCATCCTCAGCTCCATCTGGTGGGTTTGGGGTGGTCACACGTCTAGGTCATGTAGACGTCTGGTTTCTGGGCTGCATGTGGTATGATGCATCAGTAGAAATGAGTGATTGTGTCAATATGCATTGCAGTGATTAGAATCGAGTTATACTCGTACAGTCAGTTAAGCTCTCGACATTATCCGTCTGTCTCGACCACTGTGGTCTGACCATGCGCTGCGTCCCGGTGCGGCAGGTCCAGCCAGATGTACTACATGTTCGGCTTCCTGTTCCTCGTGTTTGTCATCCTGGTGATCACGTGCTCCGAGACCACCGTGCTGCTCTGCTACTTCCATCTCTGCGCTGAGGTGAGTGCCGTCCCTTGCCAGTCGGGCGCTGCTGACTGGCGCACACATGCTGGGGATTGAGGATTCAGGATAGAGTGGCAAGTTTTAGTAGACACGGGGATCGGTGCCTATTAACTAAACGTATGATTTTACCGTTTCTGCGATCTTTTTACGACATACATCTGGGGTATATGTTCAGAATATATGCCATAAAAGGTCTTGCAGTTAAATAACATAGGTAATACTAGTATCATAATAGCTTTCCTGTCGGGATTGTTGTGAAGCCGCTACACAACTGTGGCTCACACCGCCGTTAGCCCGTAATTGCCGTCACGTCTCCCGCCGCCACGCCGCGTTGCCTTAATTGTTGTCCCGTGACACTGTCTACTGTGACGCCGTTACGACTGTGACGCCGTTACGTCTCGCCGCCGGCAGGACTACCACTGGTGGTGGCGCAGCTTCCTCACCTCAGGCTTCACGGCCTTCTACCTGTTCTGCTACTGCTGCCACTACTTCGCCACCAAGCTGAGCATCAGCGACCCGACGTCGGTGTTCCTCTACTTCGGCTACACCACCATCATGGTGTTCCTCTTCTTCATCATGACAGGTGAGACTGACGACTGGACGGGCGGGGAGGGGAGCGTCCCGCCCGACGGGTGTAGTGAGGGTGGGTGCGGCTGGACGGGTGGGTTTCAGTCATGGGTCCCTGTGCTAGTGCGTACCATTGTTTATTTTAGCGACCGGAAAAACAGAACAGCCGTGGGACATTCATTACTTGGGACCGTCATTACTCATAGTCATGGGTCTTGCATTGATTTATTGATGATTTAAACATGTTCGTTAACTGTCGCCCGTGCGGACAGGAACGCTGGGATTCCTCGCCTGTTTCTGGTTCGTTCGCAAGATCTACAGCGTCGTCAAGGTGGACTGACGCGTCTGCGGCAAACACGGCGCACCGGCGGCGCGGTGACGCCCATTCCGACGCAGCAGCAGCGACCGCCGCTCGGCCACCGGAGCGGCGGCCCTAATTTATTCAAATTCGTGTGTCTTGTGTCGGAAGGACGGTCGTGTGGCGGCCGTCTCGGTGGCGCGGCTCTCTACTCCCGAGAGCGGCTCGAGAGACGTCCCGCGTGGTGTGCCTTTCGGCTCGCCGGCGGCCGGGAAGCGAGAGTGAAGCTGTTACGATATCCCCGCACTGGAGAGCACCGACTGAGTCCCGGACTGATATGAGAGGGAAGGGGCAGCACGAAGGGTGGTACGATTGTACGGCTGGTTGTGAGGGGACATGTGTCGGCGCCGGCGACTACCGCCAGTGATTTGGCTTCAGTGGTTTGTCTTTTGTTACGACTTACGACCTAGCCTGGGTTTGACACGCCTTCTCTTGTTCTGCGACAATATCTTTAGGGGGATTGGCGTATCTTGGACTTGCTTTTCGGTCATCGCATGTCAGCGTTCCACGTAAGCCATACCTTTGTCGAATTTCATGTTATCTGCACCATAATCAACAAGCCAGGTGGAATGACGAGCGGTTGGAGATATTGCGAACGGGCATATTATGGATGACAGACTAATTCACGGACCGGGACGGACTGAGTGAATGGCCGACGGACTGATAAGTGGACGACCTGAAGGCGTGACCTACAGAGACTGACTGACTGACTGACTGACTGACTGACTGACTGACTGACTGACTGACTGACTGACTGACTGACTCACTGACTGACTGACTGACTGATAACCTGAAAGCCTGACGTACTGAGACTGACCGCCGACGGGCTGGCGGAGTGACTGACTGATGGACAGCTACGCTATCAGACCGACTGGGAGCCGCCCTGGCCGTAGTCTGTCCCTCGGCTGAACAGTAGCTGATTGGATACGACAGTGGACTCTGCACGACGATACACACCGATCACAGAGTGGGGGTGGCGACGGACCGCTCTGTCACTCGGCCTGGACAGACGCGGATAGGAGGGGCAGCGGTCCGCACAGTGCAGCCGGGCGGGCTGGACGGAGCGGTCGCGGCGAGGCTATGTTGTGTGCGCTGGCCGCTGGGCACTGTTTGTGATCGTTGGGCACATTGGGGTGTTGGCTGCGCGCCTCGGGCATTTTTGGACTGCCAGTAACCCTCGGGGCGGCGCGGCGGCGGCCGCCGTCCAGGCGTGGTGTGGTTCACTTCACTGTGGAAATTATCGTGGATAGCTGCTGTTTTAATAAAGCAAATTATCGATTACTCGTAGTGCGCTCTTCTCGGCATGTGTCAACTACTCAAGATTTGTTAGCGCGAGTAGGTTTAGTCTTTGTTGATGGGTGATTGATTTTGTTTAAGTTATCTTATTTCGTGATGCGTACGATTTTAAGAAATATATTATTATAAAATAATCGCTGTGTGGCCAGAGGTTCGGGATTCTTCAGAGCTTAGCGCTGCCAATGTGAGGTCGACGGGGGGCTTCTGCTTACAATTGGAACCCTGCTCTAAGAGTGGAGCTCCTCAGTGTACTGATCTTATTAGCACGTGTGTGTCTGCCTCGTGATACGCATAAACGAAGAGTCGACGTGAGTGTGCCGTGGGCCCACGCACCAGAGGCCACGCCCTCTGGTGGCTGGTGGTGATATTTGGCGAGCGGGAAACCCGCGATGTGTCCCTAACTTTCAGCCTTCAGGAGCAGTGCGAGTGTGCGAGGTAGAGGGCTCGGCTACCATGTTAGAGACTAAATTGATTAGGATCCTGCTTATTTTGTCGGGCGAGGCCCTTTTGCTCTAATGAGACCACTGCAGGGCCGTTTAGGATGCTAGGAATCAGGGGCAGGCATTGGTCCGGGCGGCCACCCTGCTGCGCCGCCGAAGCTGAGCCCGTCACGATGGACAGGGCGCGAAAGACCACCCAGTCCCGCGATGTTCTCAAAACATCTCGCCACACTGACAGTCTTGACAGATGTTGCGGTATTAGTGTGATCTACCCGAGTCGGATCAAGGTGACTGGCCAGCTTGGAACAGAGGCTTTGAGTTGTTGTGGAGAAGGGTTTATGCATCTTCAATGTTTTTTAATATAAAAAATAAGCCCCAGTGTGTGCCCTGTGCATCAGGGCATGCATAGACCTGCCGGTTTTATTTGTTCTTTCATGTTTAAGATTTACCGTAGAAAAAGAGAAGAGAATATTTTAGCGCCATGAAACGTTCATTTACCTTAACTAGTATACATTTCATGTCCAAATATTTTTTGCATCTAAAACGGTTGTAGCTGTCAGCATTTCTTGCTGTAATTTTATGAAGTTTATTTACTTTCAAAATTTCATGAGCGTGGGTCATCACTATCTACTATTTTGTTTGCAGAAATGGCGTCCGCCGACGTCGCAAGGTGTTGCGATGATCCGAATTTTGCCGTAATTTGCTCATTTCTCGAAAAATTTGGTGAAAAATGTGGGATTACATATCCCTCTTTCTCCCGGCTTCAGCAAATGCTGGAGTCAACAGACGAAGGTGAGGTTCAGGCGGTCAAACCGCCACTTTATTTTAGGGGTTGCGTTAGCTCTGAATGGGCACCGGCCCCTAGCTAATGGTATTTTGTGTTTTTGTGTTATTTACACAGTATTTTGACATGTTGTCACTATTCTCACGCTTATGATTGTCATCTTATCACTGTCTCCATTGCTGTTTGACCACAAAAGGGTGTGAAATACAAAGATTTAAAGCTAAAGCTGCATCACTGACCAATCCTTTGGTACAATCTCATTTTTGCTGGTTTCGAGGCTACTGGAGATAGTACGACTCAATAAGAGACAAATTAACATTGTATGATTTCCATGCATGTAATTGAAACCTGAGGTAGCAGGCATACAGGCCTGTTGTGGCTTCATTTGAGATGATTTAATGTTTTGAACTTGTGCTGAGCCCTATTTCAAGGCACGATGCTGCAGCGCACTGTGCTTTGTTGCTGTATTTGTGCAGTGTTTGAGACTAATTGCCTTGGTGCACTAGCTGTGAATGTCTTGAGTTTGTTGATGTTTCCATTGAAACTGAATACACCACGGTGCAGCGAGCTGCAGCGCTGTGCTTTGAAACAGGGCCCCGCTCAAAATGGATGTTAACATTTAGATAGGTAAATGTTTTCACATTGGTACCTTCAAAAATAAGCCCCTTAAAAAGTAAAGCATTTTGCTTGATTTCCCAATGACAATGATGGATTATAAAGTAATCAGTTTTCGCATGGATATCACAACATTCTGTACCATGCTGGTGGATGGTTTCATGCCCCATTCAGGTTTTTTTGCAAATATTTCAGAAATGCATATTTGGCAGACCTTATCATGCATCTTTTCTGCTGACTGCCCATTTGAAAATTGCAGACCCTGGCTGTTCATGGACAGGTCACCAGGTCAAGTCAAGTCACCTTACCTATGTCAGATAAAGTTCCAATGCTCACCATAGCTACACCAACAGAATGATCACTTTTAAGCTTTCAGTGTTTGCTAAGAATAACAGTATGCTTAAAATGTATATCTCTGAATTTTGATAGCAGTGACCCAGTAAACATGCCGACGTCGGCGCGACGTCGGCCGACGTCGGGGTGACGTCGGCAACTCGGCATCGGCATGCCGACGTCGGTCCAACTTCGGCACGACGTCGGCTGGATGTCGGATATGCCCGCATGTACCGACGTCCAGCCGAGGTCCAGCCGACGTCGGACCGAGATCAATTGCTGAGGTCCAGCCGACGTCGGGGCGACGTCGGACCGACATCGGCCGCTGTTTTGACCGTTAAAATATTATAATACACGTTTCATGTTTCATAAAGAGCTTCTGTATTCAAAATATCCTCAGGAAACTCAAATCTTCCTCCACGCCGCAACCCCCTGATCCGGACTGGACGGGAAACTTTATCCCATTTGGGATTGCCCGTAAGCCGAGCTCGCCCGTAGCCGGGTGCGGTGAGTGCTTGGGGGCTGCTCGGCCTATCCTTTGGTCAGGCCATGGATTAGGTCTCAGCCCCGACAACTCACCAGGTCCGGGCCCAGTTCATATAGAAAGGCCAGTCGGCAAGTGTCACTTTGCCAAAGTGCCACTTATCAAAGGGACACTTTGGGAAACGTTGGTGCAGGTGTGTAAGAGTGGCATATGAATCCATTGTGGGGTCGCCCTTTCCAAGAAGGGTCACGTAACAGCAATGGGACCAGGGACTCTATATGAACTGGACCCAGGGTGCTCGCCAAGAAGACCAATGTCTCCATCCTATCATCCTTCCGGCTCTGAAATGGTCTTGTCAGACCGAAAGGGCATAACCCAACAAAACAAACTAAATTCGCCATCTGGCTGCGTGGTGTAGTGGTTAGCGCACTAACCTTGCGTTCAAATGACAGGGGGTTCGAATCTCACCGCCGGCTGATGCTTTTGGCGTGTTGTCCCAGTAAACATGCCGACGTCGGCGACTGGGGGGCTCGAATCCCGCCGCCGGTTGATATTTTTGGCGCGTTGTCCCAATAAACATGCCGACGTCGGCCCCGTCGGTCCAACGACAAACGATCTCGTCAACCTCGGCAAACAACCTCGGCCCGACGTCGGCTCGACGTCGGCTGGACTTCGGCTGGACGTCGGAACATGCGGGCATATCCGACGTCCAGCCGATGTCGGGCTGAGGTTGAACCGACGTTGGGCCGACGTCGGGCCGAGCCTCGGCCCGACGTCGGGCCGACGTCGGCATGTTTACTGGGGACATATTAAGGTCGGCTCATTTTGTGATTTCTCCATTACAAGTCAATGGGATAAAATTGGAATGCACCTCTTTTGGAACAGCTTCAGACTTCACTCTCAAATATAGGATAACAGGCTAACATGACACACTGAATTTGAAAATGCCACCTATGACCCACCTTTTTCCCACTTAGGTCATCTCAGGTCATGAAAGGTTTTCAGCAGTTTTTTAACAGAAAATACTAGAGCAATGAAAACACTTAATACGTGTTCAGCTTGACAAGATGGATTTACTGATGTGCAACATCACCTTTTCTGGTCATGTTGTGACCTTGACCTTAGGTTAAATTTCCAAATGGCCTTTCAATGTTAAATTATAGTTAATTTGATCCAGCTTGCCAAGAGGAACAGGATGCTGGCAAAATCAGTGTGCCAGGTTTAAGTCAAAAGATGGTGCAGAAAAAAATCCAAAGAAATGTCATTTTTAAGAGTTTTTGTTCTGGAGGCTTAACTGCTGATCATAGTTCAAAATTCAAATATTAGGGCACTGTCCAGAAGGAGCATTAACAGAGCACCAAATAAGCTTTTCTATGGCACTGTAGCACTATTCATCCCTGATTTATGTGCCACTTTGTTGGAAATTGTCAAAATAGGTGAAATTTGACCTTCGATCACCTTTGGTGACCTGAACTTTGACCTTACGTAAAAAAATGACTTAAGTACTTTCATAATGATTTTAACACTTTCCAATGCGGCTTATCGCTTGTTGCCATACAGCCCAGGAGCCCAGTTATGCAGGGAGGGTGTGATAGCACCCCCCCCCCCCCCCCAGCATCCCAGGTAAAATTCAGACCACCAGCACAGCGTGGATTAACATCATAAATTTTAATTGTTGCGGTGTCCTAAAACCTCAATAGAGATGCATTGTATGCTGTCATCTTTCTATGGCATAAGTATTTGGTATGTAAGACTATAATTCAATAAAGACTAGTTTGTTTTTTTCCAAAAGGACTCTGGCTGTAAGTTCATTATCGTCAGCTCTCATGTGAGTTTTGGCAGCTTCGGTGTCTGGGCAATAATTTCTTACTGAAAAAATATTATATTTCAAATTGTGCACGGTAAGTACCCAGAGAATGTGTCTGAAAAAAATGACATTCCATGATGAGGTCACTGGTGGCAGCAGGTACCCACTACCCAATGTCCGAAGATGGGAAAAAGTGTCTAAGATTTGGGGGATGCATCGTTTTTCACTGTTCCCAAGGTTATAATCGAGTAAGCGGTTCCGTCCATGATAGCTATCTGTTACATTGCAATACAAGTTTGACAGCATGACAGTGGAGCATGACGTCACCACGGACTGTTCTCATACCTGGTTCCAAAACGCACGCATAGAAGGGAACGCATATGTATAGGGCACGCATAGAAACGCACGCATATAGGGAAGAAAGCCTATGTTAAAGTAAGTCGACGTTCGATTTTCTCAGGTTCAGTTTTTGCCCGTTTTGCTTGTTAAAACACGTGCTTATTCGAAAAACTTACTTGGAGCCAGAGTCCTTTTGAAAAAAAAAAACGAAGTATACCTGGGTTCTGAAAAATTGTATCAGGTTTAAAGCAGTCCTCATTGTTTGACCATTGTATTTCAGTTCACGATGCGCTGAAGCACTTTCACATCCGCCTGATGCGGAAGGCGAAGCGGCAGGTGAAGCCGGACCTGTGGGAGAAGGCGCTCATCACGTTCAGTCGACCCATCTGCAAACAGGATGCCTGGGAGCTGGAGAGGTTCGGCTACAAACAGGCCGACCTCGGCGTCAAACTCCGCGTCCTCAAGGTGGGTGCCATCAGCGAGGTAGTTTTACCCGCGGATGGTGAAACGTGATGTCACAAAACAGGGTGTGTTTGTTAATTGGGTTTAAGGGTGCGCCGCCTACAAGGTCATTTTGTGCCCATCACAAAACAATGTTATGCCTTCATCTGCTTTTTTGTGTCTTTTCATGGATCCCACCAATTTCCTCATTTCAAGTGGAAGCATGGCTTTTGTGCTGTTTTGCCTAGCTCGGATTCAATCAACCTATTCTGTATTTTTCTTTGAATCAACCTATTCTGTTTTTTTCTTTTGAAATAATTCATGCATCCATCATGTGATTTGTGGTATTTAAGGTATTTCAGGATACTTTGCTACCATTTAATATCCGTGTCCTGCGCTCGACGATTTACGTGCTCCAATTTCTCCCTTGCAGAATCTGTGTGAGGTGCAGTTTGACCGTAACAAGAAGTTCAAGGACGAAGTGAACAAGGAGAGTGCCACCGAGCTGCGGCGCCAGCCTCTGGGCCGCGACCGGCACGGCAACAACTACTGGTACCTGCTGGACGACGACTGTCAGCTGCGCATCTACAAGGAGGACATCGACGACGAGACCTGGCAGGTGGTGGCCACGTGAGTGACCCCGCGGCGGGGCAACGGGTGGGAGATGGGGAGAGGATAAGGGGAAGGTCGGGTCACGGTCCACGGGGAGATGTGGAGGGCCAGCGAGATGTCGGCCGAAACTCAACAGGTGATGGCAGGTCGCCATTGGAATGATATTTGCGTCGTGTTACGTTGTCGTTAGTCGTGTTAGTTTGTAACGAGCAATAAAACATTTTGCAACAAAGCATGGATGCAATTAACCCGCGCCCCAGTGGCGGTCTCGGCCAACTTCGCCCTAGTGAGGGGGGGCATATGTTACCACCCACCTCTAACTCAAAAACTAAGAGGGCTAGAAAGACGCGGTAAAAAGCAGTCGATAGCTCTCAATACGTACGTTTGAAAGTATTTCGGTCATTTTTCACCTTAGAGCAATATTGGGGTCACCAGAGGTCATCAAAGGTCAAAATTTGCCAATTGTCATTATATTTTTCAGAAAACATGCCGCTATCTCAGGAACTATGGTAGCTAGAAAAACGCATGGAAAACAATCGATAGCTTTTGAACTGTTCTTTTGAAAAGGTCATATCAATATTGTCCTCAGGTCAACGGTTTAGCCTCCAGAGGGCAAAAACTCCAAAAATAGCTGTTTTTACGAAAAGTGTTTTTCGACAATAACTTTCGACTACAAAAAGCCACGACATTTCTATTGCCAGAATCGTGTTCCCCTGACCGAGACGCGTCGAATGAACTATAATTTGACCTGGAAAGGTCAACTTAAAAATTTGACCTCAGGTCAAGGTCATGACCTAACCGGGAAAGGTCATGTTGCATATCAGTCGATGCGTCTCAACAAGACAAACACAATGAGACCATCCCCAGCGTTCTATCTCTTTCCAATCGCGAGTTATTGGCAAAAAAACTGTTTGTAGCCTCAAATGACCTCGGATGACCTTTCTAGAGGCTATCAGCAAAAATGACACCTTGGTCATCACGAGTGGACTAAATCATTGTGATTCTGAAATATTTGGACTGTTCCTATGCGTACACACGGATCTAGAGGCACTTTCATTTTTCTCCATTGACTTGTAATGGAAAGGTCATGCCACTGACCTGACCTTAGGTCACGGATATAAAAAAAAATCCGAGATATACAAATTGTAGGCTCCCATAACAGCATGCAATCCACCAAGTTTAAAACTTTTCTGACAAACACTGCAGGCTGGACATGATTGCAAACTTTTTTTAAGGCTTGGTCAGTTAACTTAACCTGGTGACCTGACCTGACATGACCTGGGGTCAAAAATTTCACACATTGTCCAAAATTGATGTACCAAAAGCTACCCCAGCTACGCGCCGCGGTTTTTTATTCACACGCGAAAAACGCGACAGGGTGGTAACATATGCCCCCCCCCCCCCACTGGGGCGAAGGTTAATAAAGCGGTGAATTTCTTTCGCTCACGGACAGTCACCCCGTGCCGACTTGAGAATATATAATAAATGGTGGGAATTAAGAGGTATGCTATTCACCAGGTGTGTCAACACAGAGGTGGGCTGTTTTCAAGGGTTTCTATTATCAGAGAGCATGCCGTTTCTTGGTCCGTTCGTTATTAGTGTCCTGGTCTGTCTGAATAGCCCGTCAGATACCGCCGTCCCCCACTGACGCCGGTGTGCCGTCCATTCTGCCGCCAGTGACCGGGATAGCATGGTGGCGCTCATCCAGAGCCTGCAGACCGAATCGCCCGTCGGCACATCGGTGGACAACTCGCAGGCCAACAGTGAAGAGGAGCTGCTGCAGGCGCCGGCCGCGTCCGTCGCCGCGTCTGTCGGCCGGCCTCAGCCCAAGCAGGAGCCGCCGGATCGGCCTCCCGATAAACCGGAGCCGGCGCCTGATGAGGCCGTGGCTGAGGCGGAGGCGGAGGCGGAGGCGGAAGAAGAGGAAGACGTAGAAGCAGAGGCGGATGCCCCGGGCGCGGCCGACGATGTCGAATCCGATGAGCCAGAAGCTGAGGACATGGAACCTGATGCGGGGGCCGAGGAATCCGATGCTGACGTGAAAGAATCACTGACTGAGGAGGCCGAGACGTCCACAGAGAAAGCTGGGAGTGTAGAGGCTCCAGCTGAAGATTCAAGGACTGAGGTGAAGTCAGATGTTCAAATCGATAAACCAACAGCCAAGGATGAGGAGCAAGAACCCAAGGCTGAAGCTGAGGAACCCGACGCCGAAGCCAAGCAGCCTAAGGACAAAATCCAGGAACCCGAGCCTGAAGCTGAGGAACCTGAGGCTGAAGCTGAGGAACCTGGGGAACCTGGGGCTGAAACTGAACCTGAAGAACGGGAGGTTAAGGCCCAAGAACCTGAGACCAAAGTGGAGGTACCTGACGCCAAGGTCCAGGGGCCAAGAGTCGAAGCTGATGCTGAGGAGCCGGAGGGAAAGGCCGATGAACCTGAGCCCCAGGCTGACGAACCTGAGGCCAAGGCTGACGAACCTGAGGTCGCGGCCGATAAACCTGAGGCCGCGGCCGAAGAACCTGAGGCCCCGGCCGATGAACCTGAAGCCACGGCCGATAAACCTGAGGCCACGGCCGATAAACCCGAGGCTGATGAACCTGAGGCTGAAACCCAAACTGAGACTGAGGAGCCCATCGTTAAAGCTGAGGCTGAGGAACCTGTGGTTAAAGCCAACGAACCTGAGGTCGAGGCAGAAGAACAGGAGCTAAAAGAAGAGGAAGGCAAAGAAACCGTTGTAGAACCTGAGACTGATGCCGTGAAACCGGAAACCCCGGCCGAGGAACCGGGGGTCGACGCCGCGGAACCTCAGGTTGAAACCGAGACGACGAAATCTCCCGCGACGGTTGCAGCGTCGGAAGGGGGTGCTCCCGTTGAATCGTCGGAAAAGCATTCCGTCGACTCCGGCTCAGTTGAATCGTGTGCAGCAGCGAAGGAGACAGATTCTGCCGAGAAACCTGAAACTGGAGTGATTGATGAGAAGGCTACAGAGGCTGTTCCATTGGAATATGGAAATAGTGAGGTCAGTAAAGCTCAAAGTCCTGACGCACATGAGAGCGTTTCTGCGAGTAGTGAGCAGGAAAGACCGCCTTCCGATATTGATGGCCCTGAGCTTGCCTCTAGCACAAAAGAAGTGGAAGTTAGTTCTGTCATGGTGGAGGAAATCTTATCTAAAGCAGAAGAGCCAGGAATGGCCGCAGCCGCTGCCGAAGAACCTTCCGACTCTAAAGAGGAACGCTCTCTGGCCGAAGAAGAAGAGCTCTCAAAGGCAAACAAGGACCAGCCCTCTGTCGAGGAGGAACATGAAGCGCAATCGCCTAGCGCGAAAGAAGATGCGGCACTGTCCCCAGGAGATGCCGCACGTTCGCCCGATGCCGTCGGCATCGTGTCTGGGACGGCAGAGTCTGACGTCGGCGTCGCTGACCATCGTCGGGAGCCTTCCAGTGCCGCCGCTGGTTCTCCGAAGACCAGCGGTGCTCCTCCCGAGTCGACTGAGGAGCGCGAGCGGCCGACCAGTGATGTTGCTGCTGCCAGTGACGAGGCGCGGGCGGCGGACAATGCGGGGGCCGAGGGGACTGCCGGTGTTGGTGCAGCAGTCATGGTGACCGGCACCACAGGGGACGGTGGGGATGGAGGGGAAACTGCGGACACTGGGGACGGGGCGGCGGACAGTAGTGTAGCCAGTATTAGCGCTGATCGGGCCGGTCAGTCGGACGAGCACCGCGCAGAGTGTACAAACAGTGAACGGGAGGCGGGCAGCGGGGCAGCTGAGCCGGCCGGCGGCTCCCCGGCCGCAGTGGGGCCAGGAGACGCCGCGGTGAGTGGACCAGCGGTGGGGTCGGCCGCTGGTGAGCCAGATGTAACGACCGGCAGCGGTGACGGCGTCCTGACTGACCCCGCGTCGACCGAACAGTCGGCTCCCATAGAGCAGCCTGTGCCGGCAGCAGAGGTCACGGGTACGGAGGGACCTGATTCACCTGGGCAGGGCACTGAACCTGCTGTGTCTGTGAGTGAGTCAGCCCCGCCGGCGGCGGCAGACGCTGAAAATGCTGAGTCGACAGAAGCCGTGCCGGTCGGCGCTGAAAGTGCTGAGTCGACCGGAGGTTCAGCAGACAACACTGAAAGTGCTGGATCGGCGGGAGCCGTGCCGGACAGCGGTGAAAGTGCTGAGGTGACGGAAGGTGCACCGGACAGCACTGAAAAGGCTAAGGCGACGGGACACGCGCCGGACACTGATGATACCAAACCTGACACCGAAAACACCGACCAGCGGGACGCTGCACCCGCCGAGTCGGACGCACAATCGGAATCTCATCCAAAGTTGTCACCCAAGGCGGCTAATGAAATCGCTGACCAGGCGGTACCAGATCCGAAACCTCCGGAGTCTGCCGTTGAGTCGGTACCCGGTGAGGTAGGGGCTGCCTCTAATGAGACAGAACCGGCGCTAGCTGTGGCAAAGCCTGCCTCTGATCAGCCATCTGATGAGGGAACAAGATCAGCAGCGGTGGTAGTAGATGAACCAGCTGAACCGTCAGGTGACGATGGTGCGCCCGAGGTCAAGGAAGACACCCCGTCGGCGCCGGATGTCAAATTCCAACACGCGGCCGCAGCAGACGCAGAAGGGTCGTCATCGCCAACCCCCGCTGCCGTATCGAGTGCAGCGCCGGAGGAGGAGAAGTCCTCAGAGGCCACTGGCGGAGACGATGTGGAGGCAGACGCTGACAAAGCCGCCTCGTCAGCTGTGGGCTCTTCGGAAAGCGCGCCCGCTGCTTCTGAGGAGGAAGAAAGTCGTGCAAAATCTGATGAAGCGAGCTCCGGTGTGAGCAAGATCGCCGACGATTCAAGCGATAACTGCCAGAAAGAGGCCAGCGTTTCGAAGGAGGGGGCTGCTGAGAAGCCAGCCACCTCCAGTGGAGATGACACCTCAGCCGCAGGGCTGACGGACGGCGCGGCAACGGCTGATTCCTCCTCTGCTCGAGAATCTGAGAGTGAACGTACGCAGAAGATTCCTGATGCCTCTGCTGCTCCGGAATCTGAGAGCGCTTGTGATACAGCAGCTGCCCCGAGCTCGGAACCTGCCAGGGATTCCCCAGCTCAGAGTTCGGAAAGTGCTGGTGATAGCACCGCTCAGGCCTCTGAGAGCGCCGCTGATACTGCTGCTCCTGCCGCTGAGGGCGCCAGTGAAGCCACAGCTCCGGCCTCTGAGGGCGCCGGCGAAGCTTCAGCTCTGGGATCAGACAGCGCTGTTGATATCTCAGCTTCGGCTTCTGAGAGCGCGAGTGACGCGGTAGCTCCGGCTTCGGATAGCACGAGTGACGTCGCTGCTCCTTTTCCTGAGAGCGCCGGTGACGCCGCTGCAGAGACTGGCTCTGGTGATGCTCAGTCTTCTGTCACATCTAGTGATGACAAGCCGACAGCGGCGGACGCGGATGCTAAGAGCGGGTCAGGTGATACCGCGAGTGAAGCGCCGGCTGCTGGAGGGGTCAGTGAGGCCATTGAGGACCCTCCGGTGGTGGTGGCCGGGGCGGGTTCGGGCGCCGAGTGTCAGGGCGGTGTGCCGTACGGCTGGGTCAGTGAGGCGATCGAGGAGCCGGTGTTCCTAGTGACCGGCTCCGGGTCCGGCGCTCTCTGCGAGGGCGGGAACTCTCCCGGCTGGGTCAGTGAGTCGGTGGAAGACCCGGTGCTCGTCGTGGCCGGCAGCGGTTGGGGCGCCCTCTGCGGCGTCGGCGGCCGGCGGCGGGGCGCCAGGGCGGCCACCCACGGGAACAACGGCCACGCCGAGCCGTTGGCGGTCGAGTCGGCACCGGCGGCCGGCAACGGCGAGCTGGAGGGCGAGGGAGACGCCGGGTCCGTGCCGGCGGCCAAGAAACGCGGCCGGAAGAGGAAGAGCGAGATCGAGAGCCTGGTGGCCGCCGAGGGCGCGGAGGTGGACGACGGAGGCAGCCGCCGACGGTCGTCCCGGGTGGCCAAGCTGCGGGAGAAGGAGGAGGAGCAGCGCAGGATCGAGGAGGAGGAGCGGCTGCGCGTGCTGAAGGAGCAGGCCGAGCTGAGGAAACTGCGCCAGCAGGAGCGCGAGGGCCGCCGCGCCCAGCGCAAGGAGGAAAAGAAGAAGAAACGCCGAAAGAAGAAGGCAGCTCTGGTGGAAAGTGATGAAGAGAATGATGATGAACAAAAAGCAAAGGCTAAGAAGAAGAAACGCAAAAAGAAGAAAAAGAAGGGCGGTGGGAATAACCCGTGGGTGTCCTCATCGGGGACCAGCTCCAGCTCTGAGGAGGACGAGGACGAGGAGGAATTATTCGCTCACCACGCCGCCGAGGAGGAGGACATTTTCCGCTCGGACCACGAGTTCTCTCCGGAGTCGGACAACGACCAGCAGGAGTGGGTGCCGGTGAAGCACGCGCGCACGGCCCGCTCGGCGCGCAAGGTGGCGCGCACTGCCGCCAGCGACCCGCTGGAGTCGGCCTCGGAGGAGGAGTCAGCTGATGAGGTGGCCAAGGAGGACCAGTGCCGAAAGTGCGGCCACGGCGACCACCCCGAGTGTATCCTGCTCTGTGACGACTGTAACGCCGGCTGGCACACCAACTGCGTGCGGCCGCCGCTGCTCAGCATCCCGGAGGGCGACTGGTACTGTCCGCCCTGCGAGCACAACCGGCTGGTGGCGGCGCTCACCGCGCGGCTCGAGCAGTTCGACGCCGCCCTCCAGCAGCGGGAGAAGGAGCTGATCCGAAAACAGCGGCTCGACTACGTCAACATCAGCATGGGCAACGTGCTGCCTACGCCGCCGCGCCGGCCCAAGAAGCCGCGCAAACGCGAGGACGACGGCTCGGAGGCGTCGGTTGGCGAGGACGGCAGCAGCTCGGAGGACGACTCGTCCGAGGGTGACTCGGAGTCCGAGTCTGAGGACGACTCGGAGTCCTCTGAGGAGTCGGACGAGCCCATCTACACGCTGCGCGCCCGCCGCCAGGTGGCCGAGGTCAGCCAGAAGGTCAAACAGTTCGACGAGCTCATCGATGACGCCATACGGGTGAGTGAGGAACCGCGGGCGGCCACGGGCGGGCTGGGAATTATAACAGTGTTTGACTTTGTCGCCGCACGATTCCCGTTAATCGTGCGCTAATCCTTATTGATTTGTTGTGAACTTCATACTCTATGCACGCATGCATGTTGAGTTGCTAGTGATGCATGTGTTCAACGGGGAAACATAATGCACGGTAATGCTTTCGAAGTGCAGGGGCAGTTTTTGTGTATCAAATCTGTCTGATATAATACCATTTACGTCGCTCATTTTCACCAACCAATGTCAACGTTCGGCAAAACTTCTAGTGCATTTAATGTTGTCTGCCCTTTGCCCACTGCCGTTGCTGATTGCCTCTGCTCTTCTGTCTGACAGGACGAGCTGGAGTATGTGCGCGGCGCCGGTAACGCCGGCCGGGGCAAGGCCATGGAGAACATCACTGAGGCTGAGGCCGCCGATAAAGCACCCGCCGAGACCGCTGCTGACGAGCAGACAACCCCTGCCGCCGAGGAGACGGCCGACGCCGCCCCGGCCGCTGCCGCCGCTCCCGGAGCCCCCGCCGACGCCGCATCATCGTCAGACGGGGAGGTGGCGCCGCCTCGTCCGACGGCAGCCGCCCGCAAACGAAAACGGCGCATCAATGACCTGGACGACACCGGTGACGACGATGATGACGAGAAGGACGCCAGCTTCAAGGCGACCAGCGAGTCCGAGGCCGAGGAGGACGAGTACAATCCTGACGAACTCTCGTCGGCCGAGAGTGAGCTGGAGACGCGCCGCGGCCGGCGGAGAGCGGCGCGTGAGCCCACCCGCCGCTCGGCGCGCGCCGGACGACGGCAGCGCTACGTCTCAGACGACAGCAGTGACGAGGAGTGGGGCGCGCGCCGCGGGAAGCGTTCGCGGCCGATGCGCGACTTTGTGGTGTCCGGGGACGACTCTGAGGAGTCTGACGGCACCTGGGGACGCAAGAAGCGCCGGAAGAAGGCGCCGCCGCGCGCCCGATCGGCCAAGGCGCGGAAGAAAGGCGGTGGTAGTGGCGGTAAGGCGCGACCGAAGAAGCGGCGCGCGTCCGGGGACCCTCCGGCGGAGAAGCCGCGCAGGCGGGTCAAGTACGCCGAGCCGGAGGAGCAGCCGGAGCCACTGGCACGGCGCACGCGCGGCAAGGTGACCAACTATGCAGCGATCCTGGAATCCGAGTCGGACAGCGACACACTGAGGCCCATCGAACCGATGAGCTTCGGCCGCAAATCGAAACGGAGCTCATCGGAGAGCGAGGACGCTTACAAACCGCCTGCTGACGAAAAGAGCGAGTCCGATGAACCGGTGGAGAAGGAGGCGGAGGAAGAGGCTGGAGAGGAGGAAGAAGAGGAGCTAGACAGCGGAGAAGACATGAACACCATCCCTCAGAAGAAGGAGAAGCCCAAGCCGACTCCGCCGAAAGAGAAGGCTGCTGAGCCGCCGGCGGCTGAGTCTCCTCCCCGGCAGGCGGTGGCAGAGCCGGCGGCGGCGGCCGACTCGCCGGAGCCGCAGGAGGAGCCGGAAGAAGAGGAGGAGGAGGAAGAGGAAGAAGAGGACGAGCCTGAGCCGACGGATCTGGCTCCCGCGGCGGAGCCGACGCCGCTGGAGCCGACGGAGCCGGCCGCGCCGCCGCCGCCGCCCACCGCGCAGCCGCTGGAGCCGATCCAGCGGTCGCCGAGTCCGCCGGCGGCGCCGCAGCCGGGCAAGGCGCCGCTGCACCCGCCGCCGGCCGGCATGGCGCTGCCGCCGATGCGGCTGGGCGGCCCGCCCGGTCCCGGCGGTCCCGTGCCCGGGATGCCGGGCGCCCCTCCGCCGGCCGGCGGCCGCGGTCTGCCGATGAGCATGGCCGGCGGTCACATGGTGGTGCGGCCGCCGCCGCGCTACCCGGGCGGCCCGCCGCCCGCCTCCATGCCACAACCATTCCACTCGCACCCGGGCCTGCCGGTGAGCGTTGCGGGCGCCACCCACCCGGGTCTGCCGGGCCACCACCCGTACGGGCCGCCCGGCGCTCCGCCGCCGCACTTTTACGGCGGCGCGCCCGGCCAGCCGTACCCGGGCCTCCGGCCACCGGCGTCAATGCCCGGCGGCCCGGCGCCCAGCCCCCATCAGCCGTGGCGGACGGGGCCGCACCCCGTGTATAGCATGCGGCCACCGTACGGCGCCGGTCCGCCGCCCCAGTACGGGCCGCGGCCGGGCGAGCCGCCTCCCGGTCCGCCGGGTCCGCCCGGCCCTCCGCACGGGCCGCCTCAGCCGCAGCAGCCGCCGCCGCCGCCCCCGCCGACATCGTCCGCCAGCCAACCGCCGCCGGAGGCTGACGGCAGCCGGGAGTTCGGCGGGCTGGTGTCCTACTTCACCAGTCAGGCGCAGAACGACTGAGCGCGCCCCAATGACTCATTCTCGCCGCCCATATTCACTCACACATCATGCATTCACGCGCGCGCGGCGCCGCGCACCGCCGGGCCGGGCCGGCGAGTGGCGCCCACCAGCGCCGCCCTGCGCGCGGAGGGAACCTAGAGCTATTTATTTCCCTCTCCGTTTTGTGCTGGCGCGCCGCCGGCCTGCCCTCCATTGCAGTCATTCGGGGCCGGGGTGTCCCGTGTCCGCCAGCGGCGACGGCCGCCGATCGCGCCAGTCGGCCGCAAGGGTATCAGCTATCATGTCGATTTACTTTTTAACATTGCGAGCGTTATTGTTTGGAGTCGGGTGTAGTTGATGCATCTCCGTGTTTTGTACGATATGGTAGTTGGAAAATGAAGTGAAATATATGCGCTTCGTATCATAAACAGCTTTTGGTGGCGCGCCCGGGAGAGACTTATCGCCACTACCGGGGAAGGGAAAACTACTTTTCTACCCGACTTGCTGGGACACATATACTTTCTTGCAAACGCCAATAAATTATGCTCTAAGGCCTGTCACGATGACCTTAAGTAAACTAAGTCAGATAGCCCTCCTCGCTAACAGTAGCTCAGTGGAAAGCACAACTGCTATCGTGCTCGTGACGACCAGCCACATAAGTATTCCTCATTTCAAATCGGGGGTGGACGAATGTGCCGAGTTGGGGTAGCACGGACGCAGCAAATCCGCCGCCGCCCTAGCGGTGACCTTGACCTCCGCCGTCTGCTGCGGCTCCAAAGCCAAGCCGGCGTGGAACTGGGAAAGCTCGTGCTACCCCAACTCGGCACAAATATCCACCCCTGTTTCAAATATCTGTATCAAGTTTCATTTATTTGTAAATCAGGCGACAGATTGAGTTGAAGAGCACAGTACAATCGTCAGATTATGTACACACTGCAGGACGCCGGGGGCGTCAGTAAAAAACAGCCACCACATTCCGGAACAGTCGAGGGCTGGTCGCGGCGGGACAATATCGTACGAATGTCTTGTTAACCCGGACGACAGCCCGGGCCCTCAGTTATCCACAATACGCCATCCACCACTTGACCCTCTTCGCTCAGTTCGTCGTGATTACCGAGTCGAGGTCCAAGGTCCGCCTGTGATTTTATTATACAGGGCATACACGCGTGCACAGCCTAAATCGTGGCGCGCGGCTCTCATCGAATACCGCCTCGCAGCTGCAGGGCGCTGGGGTTGGTCTTCGTGGTAGAGGCCTTGGCCTTCTTACTCTTATCGGACTGCCAGCACTTCCACAGTCGGATCGTTTCGTCGGCGGCGGCGCTGGCCACCGTGGAGCCGTCGGGCGATACGGTCAGCTCCAGTACCCGAGACTCGTGACCTGTAACACAGGGAGACACACCACGTCACGGTCACGGCGATCGTCACACACAGTCACGACCGTCACACATCAGCCACAAAATATCCCAAGACTCTTCGGCGCAAAATGATCTTAGTGGTCGACGCGGCGCCCTTGAGCTCCATTAACGCCGCAACAGGTGGCCCGTCACACAGCCCCCCAGTCCCGTGGACGTACTCCGTCTTCCCGGATCAAGACTGCTTCAGCACACAATGCACACATATCCTTACCTGTGAGGTCGATCACTTTGGTCATCTGCGGGTACTTCCAGATGGTGAGCTGGTTGTAGCTGAAGCCGTGACCGGACATGATCTCCTTGAACTCAGCGGACCACACCAGAGAGCACACCTGGCAAAGGGAGAGCGGGGATCGGTCATATCGCGCTCAGAAAATAGAGCAAACACATTCCAAGTACGAAAACGTTCTGTAAACAAGTTCCCTATCTGTCAGCTTTGTGTTGTCCGTTACACCCCAGCCAGTCCCATCCCTCTCACCAAAGATTCGAGCACGTCCCATCCCTCTCACTAAAGATTTATGCACGTCCCAATGTCCCATCCTCTCACCAAGGATCGGCGTCCTCTCACCTGTGAGTTTGTGGTGGTGGTGTTCAGCAGCTGACCCGTGGAGGCGTTCCAGAAGCGAATCGAGCGGTCGGCCGTTCCGCCGCCGGAGGCCAGCAGGTGCGGGCTCCAGGGGCACCAGGAGACCGCCTTCACGGCCGCCTGGTGGGCGTTCAGGGTGTGCAGTGGCTCGCTGTTCGCGTCGCCTGCGGAAGCACCGCGTGAGACCGCGGGTGAAACAGCGGGTTAGACAGAGGGCTAGACATGGGATACATCACAGAGGGTCTGACATCCGGTCAGATTGGGGGTACGCTGAGGTCAGACAGTGAGACAAGAGACCACCGATTCAGACATGGTTAGCTTCACTCTGGTTAGACGTCGAGACAGGGCACATCGGTGTCAGATAGGGACGTCGGCGTCAGTCAGTCTGTCTGTCTGACGTCTGTATCTGCCTCCTTCCCCCTCTTCCCCTCTCACCAATGCCGGCGGCGGCGTCCCAGACAAGCAGTTGGTTGTCGTTTCCGCCAGAGGCCAGCAGGCGGCCCTCGTCGGACCAGCGCAGGCCGCAAACCTCCTGCACGTGGCCCGCCAGCGTGCCCACGTGGTGGTTGGGCACGCGCACGTCGTGGTTGTGGATGGCTCCGCTTCGAGAGCCGCTGGAACACGCAGAAGGAGTGGTGAGTCAACAGACACACAGTGCAGTGAGTTGAAGACGGAATGGGAAGAGGGCACTGTAACAGCGTAACAAGATGATGACAATAAACAGGTGTGGCGGAGTCATGGACGTCGACAGGGTATCAGCAGTGTGACAGTAAAGGATATTCTCAACTTAAGGAGCGATGCACGAGTCACACATCTACCCTGGAGACGAAGTGTGTCACTGACTGAGCTGGAGACTCGCTGGGCCTCACATATAACACAGGGACGCACCGGGCCATGTCACTGACCTGGATATGATGTGGTTGTTCCAGGAGAGTGTGGAGACGCGCGCCTCGTGGCCGGCCATCACCCGCAGCCGTTTCTGTCGTGCCACGTCCCACAGCTGAACGGCGCCCGTGCTGTCCCCCACGGCCAGAAACGAGCCTGGCGGAGGACAAACCAGTCAAAAACCACGCACCACACAATTATAGTGCTCAGAAAAATAGCAACGGCCGCACAGAGCAAGCAACTGAGCGGGGGCTAGGAGAAAGCATGAGAAGTTCGTCGAAAAGCCTGTCGAGATCGTCATTTACAATTGAATAGCGTTTAGCGAACAGCGACGGACCTAACACAGACCAATATCTCTCTAAGTATAGACCAGCTTTTATCTCGCACTGAGCGAGAACACGAACGGGCCTCCGCCGCCGCTATGCCGTACCTTCTTTTGCCCAGGAGAGTGAGCAGATGTAGTCCTCCTGGCTCTCCATCTGGGTCAGGCTGGCGATGGTACCGTCGGCAGCGTTCCACACATACACAGAGCTACCGAGCGCCACGGCCAGTTGGTTGGAGGAGCTCCAGTCGAGAAGGTGCAGGTAGTAGTCGTCGAGTAGGTCGGGCGCGTCCAGAATCTTATCCGGCGCCGATGGGATGAAGCGTGTGGATGGTGCGCGCGGCGCCGAGGAGCGGCTGGCGCTGTACAGCACGCGCAGACCGTTGGCGTAGCCTGTGTGGAGAGAGGAGAGGGACAGAGGGACAGAGCGTCAGACGGATGACACCCGGTGGTGGGAGCCTGCAGCGGAGACTATGAAGCGGCTGAGAGCGTGAAGGAGTCGGCAGCAGTACACTACTAGTGGAAAAAATGAGCGGCGGTGACGGGAGAGCCAACTGAAATCGAGTAACGATAATAATTCCTTCACATTCCTCATGATGAAAGAACATAATAATGTTCACAACTTGATATCAGCTATGATATCTTGATATGATACGTTAGCCAATTACGTTGAATGTCTTGTAATACCAACTGATCGATCTGCAAACTCGCATTCCCGCAATATCATGCCACTTATATTTGAGCCTGTGTAAAAATGAAATCCCCACTATATCCTTACTATTCAACACGATCTGATGAGCCAGCGTCCCGGTCCCCCCCCCCCTCCTCCCCACTACTCACTGTCCGACGGCTGCGGCGCCTTGGCGCGGAACGAGAGGATGCGCGTGTCACGCGGTACGCCGTTATTCAGCGTCTCGGCGAGCGCCTGCTGCTGGTCGGCGGTGGCCGGCGCCGCGGTGGCCGACCCCTCCGTCGGGCTGCCCGTGGCCGAGAAGCTGGCCGAGGCCGTGGTGTCGGCGCTGCCGCCGCTGCCCGCGCGCACCAGCGAGTGATAGCTGTTCTCCATGTCAGTCGTGCCGCGACAGGGAATGAACCTGGGAGGGAGGAGGGCTGTTAGAGCGGTGCCGGCGCGGCGGTGTCTGCCAGACTGGTGGTCACCGAATACACAACGAACTGAGCCTGTCCATGGTGTTCACGAGAGAGCAGGTTGCTGGGGTACCGACGCTCCCAAACAATCAAAATGGTTACCTTTGTTATTTGTACCGTGCGAGCCGGCATGCTATGCAATCAATGCTTTGCAACCCAAAACCTATGCAGAAACATGGTTCAAATGCAGAGCGAACCACCCAACACCAAGAATCAGCATTACCCGAAACTCAGCCCCTCCCCTCCGTCGCCGTTTCTGGCCTGCCCGGTCTCGGTCTCCCAGCACCCACCTGTCGCCGCCGTTGGGCGTTTTGGGGGCCGCCCGGGTGGGAGTCCGTCCGCCGGGGCGCAACGTCAGCGCGCCGTCGGTGGTGTTGTGGCCCGGAGTGCCGGCACTGCGGGCCGGACTGCTGCGCTTGCCCGGAGTCCGGCACCGTCCCGGAGACGACTTGTTGGAGCCGCCAGACAGGCCCGGAGTGTTCAGCGAGAGATTCGAGAGGTTCAGACCGAATCCTGATGGGATGAAAGGTGGTTTGACAGTACTCACGACACAACAGACTGAGCAGACTGCATAGATAGTGATGGTAGTTGGTACAAATGGCTGAGCTCAGCTTATAGTTAAGTAGGAACTATTGGCAGTTAGAAGTACTTATGATACTCTAATTGATGCAAAACATAACCACTAAACTTAATCATATCCAGTGTGTCAGAATCACCGAGTCACTTAGTCATGAGAGCCTAAAAAACTAGACAGTTGTGCTGCACTCACCTGAGGTATTGATATCTTTAGGAACATTGAGTTTTTGCACTCCCTGCTCCATTGCCTTCCTTTGCCATCTCTGAGTTGGGAACTTGTTCTCCATATTGGGCTAGAATATTCCACAGAATGCCTCTGGAAGAGTAACAAGCAAAACTTTAAATAAACTCACCTGTTTAACTCACCTGTTGGGTTTCCTAAAGGGCTTTGTTAGCTATGTTCATTAATGTATGCTCAGAAGACTTGGCAACAGACCTGTTAACTAAAAACCTCAACACCAGATCCTCAGTGCTTAATTACTAGTTTATAAATTTGCTCAA